CTTCGCTTGATTTCATGTATCTAGGAACTACGTGAAACACACTTCCAACTATCCTTTCTCAGCTAGGAATGATTTAGAAGATAATCTATCTATAAATAAAATGTTAGTTTACAAAAATAACCTTTTAATATTAAGCATAATAACTCACGATAAAAGGACATAATCAGAATTCTAGATATTAGCCTTGTAATTCTATTAGTTTTAGGACATAATACTACATGTTAGGAATCCTACATGATTACCTTTAGGAATCCTATTAGTATAATTATTTTCGGACATAGATATATAATACTACATGTTAGCATGTAAACCTAATACCTTTAGGAACACGTTAGATTTCCTATTAGTATAATTATTTTCGGACATAGATATATAATACTACATGTTAGCATGTAAACCTAATACCTTTAGGAACACGTTAGATTTCCTATTAGTATAATTACTTTCGGGATATGGACATATTTTTAGCCATGTAGTTTTATTACTTTTAGTATATACTTCTTAAATTTTTTTTATTACTAATTTAATTTGAAAACGTATTATATTCTCCAAATCCATTTAGAAACATGAGAGCCTATATTATTATAAAAACACGAATCCAATATTGATAGACCAACATAGCCCTAAAATATTAAACAGAAAAACTCGTAGAGAAAGGACATAACTGTAATAACTTATTTTTTTGGACTACAATAACTTTTATGTTAATTTTTTAATATTTAAGATTTTAAAATTAATACAATCTAATCTATTGAATTCTTTTTAAAAATATGTAGAAAGGGTTAATAAAATCAATTTCATAAGAATCCTCCATATTGATAATACATTACCACTTTATAATATTCAATACCAAAACGGACTGCATAAAGCATTGAAATTAAGAAAAATCCCCACGATAATATATTATTATATTATATTTGAACTGCTTTCATACTCAAATAATATTTTTTTATTATTAATTTTTCGTGTAATATAGAAAAATATACTCAATTATTAAAGAACAACTAAGGAAATTTTTAAGAATATAAATGTGTGAGAAAGAGAAAGAAAAAAGTTGGTAAGAGTCAATACCACTAATGATTTTGCAAACATAAAGATCTAAAAGTGAAATGTTAGATTGATCTTTCTACTCTTTGAAAATAAAATTTATGGTGGATAAAATTATAATTACGGTTAAATATTCAAACATGAGGTGAACTGATATTAAGAATCTGAATCAACCGAAAATAAATTATTTTTTATGTTAAAACCAAATAATCAAATCTTTCAATTAATTATTTAGCAAGATAATACAATTAAATTATTTTTAAATTCATCATATGAGTAAAATTATTTTTCAAGTTAAAAGAAAATCTTAGGGTACATGAATTAATTTCATAAAAAGAGTGTTAGAGATTAAAAAAATTAGATAACAAAGTAAAAAAGATTAGTATAATATTAAGAAGGTCATACAAGTGTTTGAGGAAGCACAATCAAAGCTAAATCTTGAACATGAATAAGCTTTCAAGACTAAATTATAAAAAGTGGACTCTGGTATAGCGGATTGTCCTTTGTAGATGCCTCCGGCGGAATCTAAATAATATGCATTACTTGAAAATATCAGATCAAGAGGCATGATATTATTAGCAATAAGAACAAGTGGTGTACCAACAACGATTTTATTATGAGGTCGCACAACTCACTTTAGATTTGATATACCTTTTCAAATAACTGAAATAACCATCACAAATATATCAAAGCAGAGCAATAGTGCTAAATTTATAAGGAAAGCTAAAGTGATAATATGGGATGAAGCGCTTTTTGCTAAGCGTCAAACGATCAAAACAATCGCACAGAGTTTTAGAGATATATTGGATATTAATGAACTATTTGTTAAAAAAATAATAGTTTGGGAGGTGATTTCTATCATGTACGATCAATAGTTCCAAAATTGACGAAAGCAGAAACTGTAAAAGCTAGCTTGCCAAAATTATACTTATGGCCTCAAATGAAAAATATTCAGTTTTATGGTAAAAATAAAATATTTTTTTAGTTTTGACTCAGCAGAAGATGATACCAACAATTACTACCAAGAAGAAAACTTAAATAATTTAATACCAAATGGCTTTCTACCGTACATGTTTGTTGTCAAGTTCATTATTTTTTTATGTATATTAGTGTCACCATATATATAGTAGACTAAATTAAAATTTATCTTCCCTTGCATATAGGTTGATTTTGAGGAAAAATATGCCCGTCATACTACTAAAAACTTAGATCCGCTGAATAGCTTATGTAATAGTACACATATGGTATATAGAAGTTTTGACAATAACGTCATATATGCAGAACTTATGATAATGGTCAATGTGTTTCTAAGTATGTATTTATCCCTGAATTCACTTTCGTCTTCTAAAACTAAAGAATATCCTTTTAAATTTATGTGAAAATAATTTTCAGTGTGTTTATGTTTTGTAGTTATAATAAATAAAGCACAAGGACAAGCATCCTAAATATTGAATTATATTTTTAATAATATATTTTCTTACACGAACAACTATATGTTGCATTTTCAAGAGAGATATCAATATCGACAATAAGAGTTCTGGTTATGGAAAAGCAACCAAATCAATAGAAGGAAATATATACAAAAAAATATCTTTTATAAAGAAATGTTCGGTAAGATACCATCACATTAGATACCGTTAAACTACAATACATAATTATCTACCTAACATGACTAAAATTAATCATTTGTGTAAGTTCTGATGATGTCCTTTCATTTTGAATTCACATATTATGCTAATGTAACAATATTTTTCGGCATTTAGATGATTGTTGTATTATTATATTTAAATTTTCTCTCATTAATTAAATTTTGTTATTCCTTCATATAAATAAATATTTAAACCATCATAAATTTAATTTATTGTATTATATAAATAATTGACTATAAATCTAGTCTTAAAAGACGAATACGAATTAGTAGGGCTGCCCCCAATAGCTCTTTTTGAATGGACATCTGGAGTTTATTTTATTTAGTAGATTTAGACGACTTTTCTAATGCTAGGAAGAGAGTACAGATATCTTACTATCACTAGACCTGACATTACCTATGCTGTGGAGTTGGTAAGCCACCATGAGACCAGAAATCAATGCTTTAGCGCAAAGTCCTATAAGGTCTCGTAAGAAAAAGACAAAATGTAGGTAGGCTGCCGCGCGGAGTGAAGGTAACTAGCCAATTCCCCAAGGTCTAGTAAACTAAGGTGGTGGTTGTTCTCTGGGCCTGTCTTTTGCTCCCAGAGATGCCTCGAGCCTGTCCTACTCATTCTCCTTTTCCCGTTCCTGACCCTGAGTGTGGAGGGGTTAGCCTCTAACGAAAATGGAACATTCAATGGCGAAATTAGCTCGCGATAATGCTCAGCCACCCGCTCATCTCCGATGACGATATCGTCGCCGAGGATAGCGTAGCATGTAAAAGGAACTCCTGGATATACTTGGGCTGCTACGAACGTTGTACGTACATAAAACTAGTAAAATAATAAATGGTTAGTCAAGAATTTCTCCTTTTGGCGAGATAGGACAAAGTACCAAAAACTACACTAGGAAGGCATTTAAATAAAGTAGGGAAAAGGTCCAAAATTGTCCCTCTACTATGGTATATTGTTTACTTCTGCCACCCATTATACTTTTCATCCAAATCTATCCCTACCGTTAACAAAGTTTGCATAATTGCTCCTAACCCTAACGGATCTACACCGTGGCAGCTGACCCCCCAATTTTCTCCATGTCAGCTGCCAAGTCAGAGTTCATGTCACTATTTTAAAAAATTTTATTTATTACACTTATTTACTAAATCAGCAAATTAAAAAAAAATCCCCAAAAAGGTTGATTCTTCTTCTTCCTCAATGCTTCTTCATCTCTGCTTCAAATATTTCGATCCAAACAAAAAATTTAACCAAACAGACTCAGATCGTCCACAACTTCTCCAAAGAATATTCCCAATAAACTCAAAAACACTTAGCTCAAACTTCAGCAAATCAGAATACCCATCTTATGTTTTCGAGCTCTCTTACAGCTCCTTCAATGGTGATTTTAGCAGGTCTCACACACTGCCAGTTTTGGACTCCATATAACTCTTAAGACGATCCAATTAGTTTGAAATTAATACATTAAACTATCAAAATCGAACTTCCCCACCACTACTTTCCAGATCTAAATCTCAAATCTCTTTCCAATCAAAATCCAAAATCTTCTTCTATGGCGGTTCGAACTCTGTACGGATTGGTGTTCTTAGCAGCGTCAAGCACTTGCTTCATCTTCCTCTACCTCCTTCTTCAACCTATCTTCTACTTCACCGCCTAACACGGCGTCCCCGATTTGAACCGGCCGCAGATGAGTCGACGAACCGAAAACATTTTTTTACCTCCATCGCCACCTTCTGCTTCCAAATCCTTACACGGCGGCTGTGTGTGGGACCTGCCATGTGTTTGGTTGTAGAATTCAATAAGTTCCAAGAAAAATTAGGTCCGGGTTATGGGTAAAAATCATGGTCGGTTTTAATTCGAACTGGGTATTAAAATTGGAGGGATGATTTGTTAATGGGAGAAGAAGACTAGATTTCATTTTGGTGGAGGTATAATCTCTGCAATGGAAAAGGTAAAGGGAAAGGATGAAAAAAAATGAAAAAGTGTTGGAAAAATATTTCGTTTTTAGAGGGTGGGGTAAGGAGATTGTACGGGAAAATGGGAACTTGTTTTGGTCAACTATTCAAATGCATAATATTAGAGGGGTTGGGTGGGACCTGCTGACTTGGCAGCTGACATGGAGAAAATTGAGGGGTCAGCTGCCACGGTGTAGATCCATTAGGGTTAGGGACAATTATGCAAACTTTGTTAACGGTAGGGATAGATTTGGACGAAAAGTATAACGGGTAAACAATATACCATAGTAGAGGGGCAATTTTGGACCTTTTCCCAATAAAGTATCCGCTGAGGTGATAAACAAGGTTCATAGTTATGTTAAATATAAACGAGCCTCTGGATAGAAAGATTTAATGCTTACAAAATTTCAGATTCTGAGCCTAGAAACAAAATTTTCAGGCTGCCTAAAGTACAAAGAAAATCAGGAAGTAGCAATCTTTATGGTCAGTTAAATGGCTAAGAAATGGCCAAGGCAGCCTAGAATAGCTCAGTAAATGGTGTATATATATATATATATATATCACAATTTCATAATAATGGGGCCAATACAGGATTGAAAAAAATGACTGAGCTCACGCTGAACTTCTCCTGAGCTATGCTCACTCCGAACAAGATCTACCATTAACGGGAACAACTGAGAAATGTATCTCCTAAAAGAATCGCTTTGCCAACTGCACAGAATGCGTAATACTGATAGAACCAAGGGAGTCCTTGCTACTAGCTCTTCCTTCTTAGCTGAACCCAAAGGAAGATTCCACAGGTATGTTGCCTTATCATCTGGTTTCCTCTTGACAGAGTTCAATCCAGCACAGTCCAAGTATACGCGTAGAATTTCTTCACATACACCCACAAGTTCCGTTTCTATATTTCTCTTTTCAACCAATGATGAATTGTTAACAAGCAGCCCATGCAAGAAGTTGAGGTAATTCTGGTAGGACTCATTTTCAAAATACACCAGCGGAGGTTCTGGTATCTCAAGGATAGAGCATGCTTTTTGCAGCTTCACTTGTACACCTTTCTCGGATTTCAATTGCTGGGCATGAGAAGTAACAGATGAATAAATACCAAGGAGGATATTGATAGTATCAGCTGATACTGATCGCCGACACATCTTGTAGAGATCAGACGACACCTGCACATCAAAAAGCAGCAGCACAATGAATAAGAAAAGCACAGCGAATCATACTGTTCTCTAATAACAGTGCATTTAACAAAACTCTTTTGTAACATTGGAAACTCTGAAAATATCTCTCCAGACAGTTCATAAATAACGAAAAGGAAGCAGGGAAATAGACCAAAGTTGATGCATGAACTATGTTTATTCCTTTTTTAAAACATTCAATCATGATAATGTCCGACCTACTGGTGATGTATAGGTCTATGTCGGGACACAACCAAATTATCTGTCTACTTTCTCTCGTTCTATCTTCTATGTGTGTTACTTGCTGTTTCTGTTTAATGTGATAATTCATAATCTTATCCAATCTAAATATTTCCATTTCTATCACTAATCATGTGGATAGTATAAGTTCAACATTTACTCCTATATAACATTATTGGCTTCATAATAGTTCTAGAAAATTGTTTTTCCTTAAGGACTATAACCAACAAAAGCAAAAAGTAGTGCTTTTTATTTTTTTAAAATCAGGTAAGGAGAATTTTATTAACCATGCATCCAGTAGATGCATTCAAATTACAAGAATAGGGTTTAGCTCTGACAAAGTCCCAGAAAATAGAACTATTTACATTACAAACTTAACATCCAGTCTAGCTTTCGATGTGTGTTGAGTTGAGATTCCGTCAAAGCACCGCAGGTTTCATTCCTTCCAGATTGCCCAAGCGATGCAGGCTGGAGTTATCTGCCAGGCGCTTTTGATGGGCTTTCAGGCTTAAGATTTGTCCTATCTTTCAAGCCACCATGCTCAAGCCGTACCATGCAGATAAGGATGACTCTAGCATGGGCAAGTCCAGCCGTGCGCCTATCACTATCACTGCCTCCACATGATAGGGACATTGAACCAATCATTGACTACCTGGCCACACAGAAAAAGGGACAAAGCCTACCACCATGTTCCTTATTCATTAGAAGGGGCGAGCACCGGAAGGGGCCATATTGGAACAATATGAAGACTTGTGGCAAGTCAAGTATAAGGTCAATGCATTCATGGAGTAGCATTGCGCCGCGGTCGTCACGACATTAGAGGGGGGAGAGTATGATAAGCTGCCACATAATCACGCCACATAGGCACCATTCGGCATACAACAGTTCCACGCAAGAAGCTTACATCTGCAGCCTTTTAGCTATCTTGGTGGTCTATTCCGGAAGGATGGAGGTTCCATTTGGAAGACAAGAGTAGGTCCTTATTTGTAGATATGGAGGTCCTTATACACAATTATAAATTTATAAGCCCTACTTTATTCGACACTACCCCGAGGAGAGTTGTATAGGTATTCATAAGGATGGAGAGGTTCCCTTTGGAAGACGAGAGTAGGTCCTTATTTGTAAATATGGAGGTCTTTGTATACAATTATAAACTGTATAGGCCCTACTTCATTTGCACACTACCCCTAAGAGAGTGGTATATATAGGGGGCCATTCATTCTCGTTTGTATCAAGCAATCAGGCAAGTTCTCTCTAATACAAAGCTTCCTTTGGCAATCTCTCTTGTGATATATAGCGCTAGCAATATCAATTTGACTTAACCTTGCAAGTTGTGTGCACGTTGTTAAGTGTCGCTCGGTGTGCTTTGTTTAAGACTATGGACATTACAAAAGGGACTTCACTGAGCATTGTAGCAGCTTCTTGCTACGACAAGGTCTCCATTCTTTTCTCTCTTTCAGATCCTTGGTGTTTTCAATCATCCATTTAATCAGAGCCCTAACTCAGAGGTGATACAGAAATTGTTCGTCAATAGGTGGAAAACCAGAGCTGGCCTCAAGGTCACTCCTTTAGCCCATATTCTTTTCGAGTTTCCTTGCATGCAAGAAACCATACGAGTTAAAACTGGAGATTGGTTTTGGAACGGTAGACATCTCTCTCTTAACTGGTGGTCCCCGGCGATGGAGACTTCCTCACTGATGTCGGAACACAAATGGGTGAAAGCTTTTAGGATTCCACTGCATGCTTGGTCCTCAGATACCTTCCGCAAGATTGGTGATTATTGTGGGGGATTTGTCGGAATCGACGAAGATACAAAGAATAGGATGCATTTTTTCTGGGCTCGAAGTTGCGTTGCACGCATAAAAGAAATTATCCCCAACCAAATTGAATTGCCGCTTGGAGATCAAAAACTTGAAATCTCAATTTTAGAAGATGCCCTAGTCACCATATCTGCTGGAATAGGAACCGTTGTTGCCTGAAAAGGGAAAGAGAGAAGACCTCTGCTAGGGTTTCATCGAGCCAAACAAGGGCCCCCGTTGTCGCTTCAGTCAGGGGCCACATGGGTGAGAAATTTAATTTGAATTCAGGGGACCAACAATTTACCAAGACAGATGAACCGCCCCCTACTAGGTTTTAATACAAATTAATAAAGCAGGGGCCATATACAAATTAATAGAAAAATATTCTATGCGGAACAATTGACCAGTGAAACAGCACCAAATAGGACAACAAACAAGTATACTCAGAGAATGGCAGGGAAGGGCGGAAGACGGACCTGTATGATGCGCAACTGAGCCGCTATATGATCCTTCATTCTTGAAACAACATATCGTGCAGTATGCAGGTTGTCATCCTCTGATTCGTCATTTATTAATCCAGCCCCAGAAGAAAACTCCATATCATTATCGGACTGACTAATGGGTATCTCAATGCCGTCCATTGTTCTCAAAAGCTTAGGAAAATTGGGTAGAGTGGAATTTGAAGCTTCTTTCAGAGCTAGAAAGATAACTTTCCAGTCCTCTTCACGAAATTTGCCTCCCAAATCACCTGCCAAACGCATTAAAGAAGCTACCCCAGTGGTTGCAGGATCCTTGCCAGAACCTTTTATAAATCCTACCATTATAGACACTACACTTGGCAATTCAGACCTCACCATACCAAAGAAATTAACAAATAGATCCACCAAACATTGAGCTGCCGCCACAGAAGTTTCAGAGTCCCATAAGCATCCATCCAGTGGTATATATCTGGATTTAAATGAAGACTGGTCATACTTCACTTGAGCTTCTGTGCTATCGTTTACTGGACTGAATATTGGGTAGATTACAGACTTGAAGACATTAATCCAGAATAGGTGTGGAAAGAGATGGCCATGGTCCTTCAAGATATTGAAAAGAACTTCCAATGCACTCTTTCTGATAGCTGATCGGGGATCTGAAGTCAATCTTGATAACCCTGAAACAGGATCAACAATGACTCAAAAAGTTTAACTTGGAACCCTCCAGTAATTATACACGGGGATAATTGCTACTATAGAAAAATGCAACTTTTGAAATTCCTCCAGAAGTCCAAATAATTTAAAATTACATGTGCACTCCACAATTTAGATTCTGAAATTCATTTCCAGTTCACTCATAATCAAATTTCCTCTGGTCCTCCCCATTTTTAAAGGTGTGAGGATTATGCAGAAAGGATGGTGAACTAATTTGACTTCAAAAAATTGGTCATTCCACACAAGTGTAAGCAACCCCTCGTTGCATTAGCCACTTGTCACTGCATGATACAACTAGGCAGGTTCACCAATAAGAATTGTTTAATGTTTCCAGCAAGGCAGAAATAGGGAAAAAGAAAAGCAACAAGACACCTGTGAGCAGAGGCTCCCAGAAAGACATATAATCATCTTTATCTGTGAAGAACATCCCATCTGAAGCCTCATCTTCGGCCACTGGAATAGATGAATCATTATTGTTGTTTTTCTCGTTGCTAACAAGGCCCCCTTCTGCAAGTTTAACAGCACAGAAACGGAGAAAAGCAATAGCATTGAGGCTAACATCACTGTTGAATCTGCTGTTTGTGAAGGTGATGAGGCATCTAACACAATCAGTAAAAGTCAATGTTTCAGTCTCAGTAATATAACGAAAATATTCCCGTACAATCTTTTCCATGGTTTCAAAGGCCAGCAACACAATATTCTTCCTTTCATCTGCAGCAGCAGCTGTAAAAACCTGCAAAGGTGCATATAAAGACATATCATATCCCAGGTTCCATTTCTATACCACTTATTAAAGACTTAACAAAAAGACAAAAACAGTCGTACAGTAAATATTAGTTGCTACATCAAATAAATAACTAAGCACATTAAAGAGGATATATCTCACATGAAACTCAGTTAGGAAGACAAGTAGATTCCTGGAAAAGAAAGCTCACACCATAAAAGGGACAGAGGGAATAGAATGCTAATAAGCAAGAGAGCAATAGAAATAGATACTGAAAGACGCTAACAATCATATATGTACTAGATGATACCCGATAAGGATAAAGCAAAACTCTATAAAAAGTTGAACTAAAGATGTGATAATTACCATAAAAACACTCTTCCACCCAGATTTTACATTATTGACACGACTCAGAACCATTTGGGAAATACAACGAACTATCAACTCCCTGATTTCAGCAGAATTACTTTTCTGCATAACAATAACAAATGGTCTCAAAAATTCATTCTGAAAGTTGTAATTCGCCAGTTCCTCTCGTTCTAAAAATTTCATAGCAAGTTGTCGCAATGAATCCATGACAAAAATTGCAACTGAAAGATTTTCTGACAAACCAACAGCCACAAAGAACTCTGAAAGAACACTCCATATGTGGGACCACACTAATCTGATACGGTTCATGTTATAGTGCCTGCATAATCAAGATCATACTTTCATCATATTCACTTTCTAAAAGTTTCCGTCTTTGTGAGGTAAATATTGATGAGTTCAAGGACAGAATCTTACGCAACTTCAACAATTTTTGTAAGGCTAAATACACGGGGATCTGTTGGAGACTGTAGTTCTGACATCGAAACTTTGCAAAGGGCCTTGACAAAAGCAACTATTGCTTCACTGTTCAGCCTTTGGCTATGAGCAAATATGTGATTTAGTTCAAAGTTGCCGATCTGATCAAGTAAGTTTAAGTTTGAAATGAAGTTATTTATCTGTTCTGGAGTCACCAATACTGGAGAGTTAGCTCCAACAGTTGCGCTGTCATATGAACCCCCTCGAACAACAGCAGCAACAGTTGGATTTTGGAGTGTCCCTTTTTTCTTCAGTGATGGAAATCCAGCTGACTTCAATGTCTTTTCCTCAGATTCAGAGTTCGAGGTAGTAAAAAAAGAGGAATCAGATGGTGCACCCTCCCCCAGCAGCTGCAGATGCTCAAATCGAGATAGACACGTCAAAAAATGCTCCCAAGCTTCATGAAGATGACTCCCATCTTCAATGGCAATCGACATTATTGTCTGCATGCAAGTTAGAAGGATGTTATTCTGCATGAGTTTCAAATTAGTAGAACAGTTGATGGATTTTTTTTTTTTTGGATAAGGTAAAGGTTTCATTAAATAAAGTACCAAGATGGTACACAAAATTACATGAAAGAAGGCTCCAACACAGCCAGTTACAATCAGTGTTTTAAAAGGCTTTTCCCGCCTCAGGGCTTACGCCTCGCCTTACGCCCGCGCCTTTTAAAACACCGGTTACAATAACTTCCCAAGCATCTCAATAAAGTCCAAAATTGATCTACATTCTCCAAAATACTAGTCTTACACCAGAAATAGAATATTCTTAATTCTAGAGATATGTCTTCTTTGTCCTTCAAAGCATCTCTTGTTTCTTTCCGGCCATAAAGTCAAAAAGATGCATAAAGGAATGGTTCTCCAAAATTAGTAGAACTTTCGATGGAATTGAAAGTGACTTGTACAGTTGAGGAATAGATTCTTGCTTTTAGTTTTTCATAGTGCATAGACAAGGTTCTTGTTTGTATCGAATATGATGTGTAGTTGTAGAGCTTACTCTCAACCTTTTGGTGCACTTGTTGTATACAGAAATTTTTCCCATATTAATATAATTATTTTACTTCATAGAAAAAGAAGGTGTGTGGCATGCGTGTATTATTATGTAGGGTTACTCTTCATTTGTTGCAAGTTTGCTACCGTCTGAGCATAAGATGGTAAACTGACATGACAGAGATTGAGGGAGATGGAAATTNGATGGTAAACTGACATGACAGAAATTGAGGGAGATGGAAATTACTTTCATTGCATCAACATTTTTTTGTTTCATATCTGCAGCACAATGAAGATAAGTGAACTTTGCCATAGATGTGACAAAAGCATCTCTCTGCGTCTGCATACCCATCACAGCTGTAATGTGCACAGCATGCCTGAACCCCAGCAAACATTGAGAAGTGGCATTCTTATCATCACTCTGGTCTAGGGTGACACTGAAAGCAGCAAGCATGGGACCCCAGCAGACTTCTACCATAAATCTCAATATAGCTGGATCTGCAATGACATAATAGATAGACCTGCAACAGGACATAATATAATTTTATGCATTCTTTTCCATCTGAACAAGAAAATCCATGATAAGAAGNTGTACTTTTCCATCTGAACAAGAAAATCCGTGATAAGAAGACATATGAGGCCAGCTTGAGAAAACTAAATCATATGTATGGGGACTATAAGGCACACAATCCTTTCAATAGTCCGTATATGTGATATTTTGGCAATTCTACAGATTGCAGCGACTCATCGAAAGGAAATATCAATCCGTACGCAGATGATAAAGAAAGAGTCAGATTCCTATCGTCTGACAAGTGGTACATATGCAGCCAGAAAGTAGATTCAAAAGTCAACATGTGGAATTAAATCTTACTCCGATTTTCCAGATTTTGTTTTAAACTGCTCTTGAATATGCCTCACAAGAACCCCATTGGCACCCAGTGGTTTTTCTTCTCTCTGTTTCCATACTAGATTCAGTATACCATCCAAACCCAAAAGCTTATTAAGACTGTTACCCTGCTTGTTTTGCGGCACAGAAGAATCTGCATTCATCTTTATCTCATTTTTCACAATTTGGTCATAGAGAGCACCCAAATAATCTTCAGGTAAGTCCTTCCCATCGTCAATCCCTCGATTGTTCCGGATGAAATCAGCTTTTGTCATCTAAATGGAGAAATACAACAGTTAATTCCGAAGAAAACCAATCACATTATTTTACAAGTAACATCTACATGTGTAACTAAGTTAAGATGACCAAGTGCATAGACTAAATGTAAAAGACTAAAACAGACAAAAAAGATACTCTCCAACCCAGTAACTGATCTACTATGTGCTCTCGAAGTCTCAAATACTGGAAAATGAAGATGTTGCCTGCCCCATAATTGGTTGCAGCAATATTGGTAACCCATATCAGTCAATATCAAAAACAATTGGTAACTCATATCCGTGACTTGTACACTATCCTTTCATGCAAAACTCAAGATCGCCGTTGAATTTCCTAATACAGGATAATTAATTATAAGCTAACAAAATGATATTTAACATTCACTGGGAAGCTCTATCTGGTTTGACATAACTTTTCTTAATATTACCTTTGATAAGGGACATCATTCTTGTTAATATTATATAAAAATAACAAATACGGAAATTCTTTTTAGAAGTCTTCATTTCTAAATTCATATTCACAAACAGAATCTATTACATGTAGAATTCCAATTTTTATACATTGTAAAGAAATAACTTTAGTTTTGTAGTAAAGGTTCAACTAAAAATATTGTTAATTAAGGTAGTAGCAAATTCATCCAAATATAGCTTTACAAGGTTTTAAATTCTTATAGTCCATACACATTGACACAATTTGACCTTTTAAACTTATTTTAGCTAAGCATCACTATCATTGAACGTTCTACACCATCCTCCTTATACTATGGATCTTTTTCATAAGTAAATAATTTTAATACTAATGGGAAAATCTCCCGTATACTAGCAGCATACTCAAAAGTAGAGAATCTACAACATAATATGATTCTCTAAGAATGACACTCAATCTTCTACTGGGTGCATTTAAAAGAAACTAGGAATGAGAGGCTATTCCTCAAATGCACATAGTTGTTTTCTATCCTATCAAAAGCTTTCTTATTTCTTTCCTTCCATCGGACCAACACATAAGTGCTAGTGGGGCAACATTCCAGACTCTTCAAGTTCTGTTTCTCCTTCTGAATTTCCCGCTGGCCAGTGCCTCCTCCATTGTGCCCGACATTGCCTACTGCATCCCAAACCATCTCAAAACACAAGCAAGTTGTCACCCGATGATGTAGGAGGAGGTGGTCCACATCTTCACCTAGACATTTGCACTTGAAGCACCTGTTGGCATATGTAATCCTCTTTTACTCAAATTCTCAGCTGTCAATAGAGCTCCCTTTGCCGCCAACCAATCCTTATACTATGAATTTATATGCACAAAATCACTAACCATCTTATTTCGGGGGTTTTATTATATATTACTCCATTATTTTTCATTCACTAGAATTCTTATTATATACTTTAATGCCGAGTAAACACTCATAAGGAAGGACGAGAGGCTTGAAAAGCCCTTTTATCTATTGGGTTTGCCAGCGTCAAAGGTATTCAATTAGTTGCCTTGCATGTTATGGACTATTTAACCCCGTCCTAGAATGTCAAATTTGCAGTCTATTGATCTTTCACTACAGTAAGCTGACAGCAGGGTAAATTGGCTAAGTTGTTTTTGTTTTCTTTATAATCGTGGTGTGTGGGCCAGCTTGCGTGCACCTCAACTAATTCTATGGAGCACCTGCTACCTCCAACCAGTACAAGTAACGGATAACTCTGCCTACCAAGGCTTGGACAAATGGGAAGAAATCGCCTAGTGATTTTGCCTCCAAAATTGGCTAAGTTGTTAATACCAAAGAATGAAATGAGTGAATGAATGAATGACAGACACCCCAGATTGAAAGCTATTGAGATGTGCATGTGGGTGTGGCCCCTATTGAGATGGATGTGCGGGCACACTAGGTTAGATATGATTAGAAATGAGGTTATTCGCGACAAAGTGGGTATGACCCCTATTGAGGACAAGATGCGAGAAGCGCGGCTTAGGTGATTTGGTCATGTGAGGAGGAGCACAGACGCCCCGGTGAGAAGGCGTGAGAGGTTGACATTGGAGGGCCTACAGAGAGGTAGAGGTAGGCCAAAGAAGAGGTGGGGAGAGGTGATTAGACAAGACATGGCGCAGCTTTAGATGACCGAGGACATGACCCTTGATAGGAAGGTATGGAGGTCGAGGATTAGGGTAGTAGAGTAGGTAGTCTAGAGTGTTCATAACAATAGTATTGGCACGCAGTCTCGCTTTCTGTTGGTAGTAGGTTTTTATGACTAACCGTTGTTTTCTTTCATTGTTGATCACCTTACTATCTTGTTGTCTTTATTCTGCTTTTATATGGCTTTTGGTGTTGTCCCTTCTTGTCTATATTTTCATTAATGTGGTGCTTATACTTTCCTGAGCCGAGGGTCTATTGGAAACAACCTCTCTATCCTCACAAGGTAGGGGTAAGGTCTGCGTACACACTACCCTTCCCAGACCCCACAATGTAGGATAATACTGGGTATGTTGTTGTTGTTGTGAGATGTGCATGTGGCACCTTCAATCAACCATTACGCAATTCTCCTAAAAACAATAATGAATGTGATAAGCTCAAAAAAGTTGAAGATGTATATATAGCCAACTCTCAAGCACATTATGTCTGTTTTTTATTCAATATTGGTTTTGAGCTCTTCTCATAGTCATAAGTCACAACTCTTATACTCTAATCCTTGTCCAATATGGCCACTAATAATAATATTGGAAACTTATCTACTGGACAGATTTTTCTTTCTTATTGTCATCCTCAAGAAAACATGGACGAATTCATTACCAACCTCTCGAATAAGAATATATTTGTTCAAGGACAATATTTTGCAATGATTATAGTACTAGCTTTGAGCTCTGGCCCATTGCAAAAGAACTACAGTTTATTGAGCTGTATTTTATGAACTAATCTATATGATCGGGTGACACAGGTTCAACAAGCCAGTAAGCTAGTCATTTGGTTGGGTAGTGAGGAGATTTAGTAGGCGTTTCGACATAAAAATTGTGATTTATGAAAAAAGTAATTTTTGGAGTTAAGTTGAAAAAAAAGCACTCCCTCCGTTCACTTTTACTTGTCAAGTATTCTAAAAATAGATTTTCACTTTTACTTGTCACTTTTAGCAAATCAAGAGAAGACAATTTCTTTTTTCCTGTTATACCCATAGTATTTATTAATTACTCATTGCAAATCATTTTCTCAAATCCATTAAAACTATGCATCAATTAATATGGGTATCATGGTAAATTATGCACTTCATTTATTCTTTCTTAAAGGGTGTGTAAAGTCCATAGTGGACAAGTAAAAGTGAATGGAGGGAGTATTTAGAATTTGAAATTGTGTTTGGACATGAAAACTATTGCAGTTTTGTGAGGAAAAATGAAATTTTACATGAAAAAGTGGCAAACCCCTCTTTTTCAAATTTGGAAACCCATCTTCAAAATTTTTTTCAAAATTCAATCCAATGTATAACCAAACAAGTTTTGGAAAAAATAAAAAGAATCGAAAAAAGGAAAAATTTTGTATGGACAAACAGGTCCTTAATCTCCGCACACAATTCCACATTAATTGATACAATATTTGGTTGCTACCTTTTTTTTTCCATAAATAATACTTGCATAAGTTGTGCTGGAAAGCTATTATTATTTCACGTGGGAAAGAGTGTGAAGCAAGAATGTGGCCATCAGTAATACATGAATATAAGCACTAAATTACAAAACTAACCCTCATAATAGTAGAAAACTTTTATTTTGTTGAAAAAGTAAAACTCATATTTTAAATTAGAGATTGTGTACTAATTTGTAATATAACAAACTAACCAGGAATTTGTAAACATCTAACCAGGAATAAACCCCATATTACAATCCCTGTATTATTTTAACTTTTTTTGGTAATTAAATTTTCCCAAATTTTCGATCCATGCATTATTAATTCATGTAACTTGTTTCAAACCAAACCGCCCCTAAGGGTAGAAATGAATGAAAGTAGCAGACGTTAATGGGAGAATTTAAGAAAACGTGCACTGGATCATACACCTAGGAGAAAAACACTTCAGAGAGATTCCCAGGGTACCTTATCTTTCACCATGCTATTATGTGCATCTGTATTGAGCATTATCACAGAGTAAGCAAGCACATAAGCTGTTTCTGCACTGGTAAAAGAGTTTGGGTTGCATTTACAATAGCGCTCTGCAAACTTCTCCATTATACGGTCAATCTTCTGAGCTTCACCAGGTAATCTGAACCCTCTAAGGAAATATCTGATTGATTCACCAAAGTCCATACCTTCAAAATTAAAAGAATCGACATATGCATGCATAACTTTCAGAGGAAACTCCTCTCTTTCACCCAAATAATCACCAATAATGGATGGATTTAATCCGGTCGTGTTCTTCAGAAAAGAGGCTACATCTTCTGCGGAATTGCCAAGCTTTTTGGTGCTCATTAAAAAATCAATCCCCTTTGAAGGCTTTCTGTTGAACAGGGAAACACCTTTCTGCATTTGATCCATTAGAGTTGTCAGTACTTAACCATACCTCAAGTACCATGAAGTGAATGAAAGCAGAGAATGAAGATAGTGGAATGTGCTAACAAAGATGATAAACCTGTATTTCTAATTTATAAGCACGGCGCTGCTCCAAGGCAGCAGCACCAGAAAATTCAGAATTTGCTTCCGGATGCAGCTCGTAGTCAATAATATTTCCCTCTTCACTAACACTGGTAGCGGCTTCTGGCACTTCATGATCAGACACCTTATCTAGATTGGGGTCCCCTACCTTCAGTTGTTGGTCCATCCACGTCCCCATTGACTTTATAATTGTAACTAAGCATTTCACCGATTCAGAACGAAATGTAATATCTTGGACTGGAGACAATGTAGTAGTGGAACCAGGAGGTGGACCAAGAGCAGTTTTAAGAAGACCATTAACAGTCCTGCAAATATCTGATGGAATTAAAGCTGTTTTAATTCAATTTAGATGAAAATAACATAAGAANACATGAGAATTTAGTGACAGGAAACATATATGAATAACAGTATAATACAACGGCAAAAAAGCATGTGCATTGCTGCAAAAGAGAGTATGAGTGTACATAGCCAAGCAAGGATAAGGAGGTAGGCTTCCTGTCTCATTAAAAGCGACTGTTTAAATAGTTGCGTTCACAAGCTCTTGGCATACAACAGTATCACAATACTTTGTTCAAAATTGCCAATGAGCTAAGGACACAACCTTACTCTTGATCTTAAGGTTGAGTTCATATTCGTTATTGAACTATGGGAGAATAAGATATTCATCTTATAGCTGATATCCGACACTGGAAAATATGAGAGAGATGTATTGATGATTTGATAAAGAAATGCCTATTTATACACTATATTCTTCTTCTTCTTCTTCTAAACGTCCAAAAAGCAGCGAAATGCTGGCGAATTTTTTCCAGAATTTTACTGCCCAATT